TTCAGTGCCAACCACCCTCTGGGAGAAGAACCTTTGCCTGAGATCCACCCTGAGCCTGCCCTGACACAGCTCCAGCCATTCCCTGGGGGCTGTCCCTGCTCCCCCCAGAGCAGAGCTCAGTCCTGCCCCTCCTCTGCCCCTGCCCAGGCAGTTGGAACTGCAGGGAGGTCTCCCCTCAGTCTCCTCTGCTCCAGCTGAACACACCAAGTGCCCTCAGTGTCCTCACATGCCTTCAAATCCAGGCCCTTCCCCATCTCCTTGTCCCTCCTTTGGACACTCTCCAATGGCTCAATCTCTCCCTTCCATTGTGTCCCCCCCAAACTGCCCCAACATTGAGGTGAGGCCGCCCCAGGGTAGAGCAGAGCGGGACAATCCCCTCCCTTGACCAGCTGAAAGGCAGCAAAATACTGTCACCTCTCCACCACCTGCTCTGATGGACAGCGTGGTAGCTTGGCTGAACACAAGGTTGGCTCAATAACAAAAATTAGAATATTGTTTCAACTGGGGGACAGAGTTGGGCCTTTACTCGTTGCTCCATCAGTGCAGGGGGTGCTGGATGAGCATCAGGTTGTTGATGGTCCCCCTGAGCAGCTGTACCTGCCCTCACCGGGGCTCTGCGGGGGCTGGAGGTGCTGCTGTCTCTCCCCACCTCTGGTGGGAGGTCATTTCCTGTCTCCCTCACCTCCACCACGGCTCTGCCCATCTTTGGGGGTGCTCCAAGCTCCTCTGAGCAGTTCAAGTGCCACACAAGCAGAGCTCTCCCCACTTGGTCAGGAGGAACTCGTGCTCCTGTGCCTGAGCAGAGCAGCAGGGTGGGCTGGGGAGGGAGAGGGACACTGCTCTGGGGATGTGTCCTGGCCACAGGGGCTGTCTCCAGGGGCTGGGAATGGGCACAGCACTGCAGCTGCTGCTCATGGGAGCTGCTGGCTCTGCACCCTTTGTGTGCACATGGCACAGCCACGGGAGGGACGTACCAGAGGTGCAGGCAGAGGCTGCAGCACCCTGGGGCTCCTGGCCTTGGTGTCTGCTCCAGGTGGGGAGCAGTCACAAAGCACTGATGGTGATGTTATAACTGGGCTGATGGGAGGAAAGAAAAGAGAAAACTATCAGAGTTCATCTTATCTGAGAGTGTTGTGCACGCTCAGGAACTGTGTAATTCAGCTGCCCTGCTCAGCCAAGAGCTAAAGAGTTTCTAAAGTTTATTTCCTGTCTTTATAGCAACTGTCTGGCCCTTTATTTATTTTCACTGAAAGCTACTGGTGTGCTAAAAATAATGTTTGAAGCAATTCTCGTGGCATATTGTATAACAATGGCAGGCTGGAGCCGGGGCAGTTGGGAAGCGAAGGATGCCTCCTTGGGCAATCTCTTCTTCTCAACTCCCATCATTTTTATTTTTCTGCTTTGTGCTGGAGCATTTTCTCTCCCCCTACCGCGGAGAAGAGCTGACGGCTCGCATTGTTGTTACCTTGAAAGGGCAAGTTATCACGGTGAATCCACCCTCCAAGGTTTTTCCTCAGGATAATTGTTGTTGTGGTGATTCATCTTGCAGACCCTGCCCTTCCTTATTCGCACAAAATATCCTACTCCCTGCAATATTTCTGGGTCAGGCTCGTGCCACACATGTGATTTCCTCTTGGGCACGCAGACAAGACAAGATGGATTTAAAGGTCAGCCAGTGCTGGGCTGGCCAAGCTCGTCACTGGTGGCTCCGTGTGTCACCCACGGGTGACGGGGCAGATGGGGACGGTGTGGGGTTGGACAGGCACAGGGTGGGCAGGTGAAGTCCCACTCGAGTTTCACGTGGGGTGGGGGAGCAGGGCCTCTGCTGTTGTGCTGGAAAATTTCACTGCTCCCGTCTTCAGTGGAAAACATTATCACCAGCACATCCTGGCATGTAATTCTGCCTCATTTATTACTGTCTCGTGCTGGCTGAGTGCTTATGGTGCATTTCTAAGGTACTCGGAGAGGGTTGTGGTTTTTCAAGGAAACATAACTCATGGGGAGACAGGGGATGGAGAATCCTGAGAGATTTTGGCACAAATTGAGTCAAGTTTTAGTGAGCATGAAAAATAGAACCTGTGCAGGCTTCGACATGAGCTCTGCGTGGCCCAGAGGCCACGGGGAAGGGAATATGCCCAGCAGGCAGGATTACCACTCAGGAGACCTGGGCTCTGCTTTTCCTGCCAACCTGCTTGTCAGGGGCTGTCTGCACATCCTGTGCTCCCCAGTCTGGGTGCAAACCCCCATGTTTTGGAGCAGGCAGATGTTCCCCAGTGCCTGCAGCTGTCTGAGCTCGGCTCCTGTCTCAGGGTACAGAAACAGGATGAAACCCAGTGATGGCATCAAAAAGGCGGATCGCAAGCTTGGTCTGGGTTTGTTTGGGAGTTTTTTCTTCACTTTCGCTGGTGTTTGTGCTGGAGAGAGGGGCTCACAGCTCCTCAGCTTGTTTGGTGGCCTTCCCTGATGGTGGGACACAGCAGGATGGGGGACAACCACCAAAGGGAGCGAGCAAACCCCGACCAGGTGGTTCCATCGTGCTGCCCCTTGAGAGGCCCCAGCTTTGCTGCCTCCCCTTGCTGTGCTGAAAGAGCCTGCCCACAGATCCTGCTGGAAGGCTGCTGTGAGATGAAGCTCCCACATCTCTCACCTGAGGTGGAGCCAGCCGGTGAGATCAGTAAGGCAGCTCCAGACCCAGAACTGCTGGGAAACGTGTATTAGCAGGGAGATTTCGTGCCATGCTGCTTTTAGCTAAGACCAGGCGCTTTGGTGGGGAGCTGCTGCCACCAGAGTGGCTCAGTTTTGCTTTGTGTGCTTCGGAGGAAATCAAAGTTTTGAGTAAAGCACCTTTAGGGACAGAGGAAATAAGGGAGACAAACCACAAGCTCCAACCTCGTTTCTTTGCACACTGAGTGTGTAAGTGAGGGTGGTGCAGGTGTCCTGCAGCCCTTCCATGGGGTGGGAGTGAGGTGCAGGGGGTTCACAATACAGCGATGTGGTCTGACTGAACACACCCCACCCCTTCTGCTCTTGTGACTGGCTTTGCTCACACCAGAGATCTCCTTCCTGAGCTCCTGAGTGAATTCATCCCACTCCTGGGACTGGGACCACTGGTGGGTGTCTCTGGGAGCAGAGGCTGTGCCTCCTCCCTCCCCCTTAGCCAAATCCACCTGGTGAATTGGGTTGTATTTCACCAAATTCACCTGGTGAACTGGCAGCGTATTTCACACGTCACCTCAGCAGCACAACCCCTCGGCAGGACACTTTTCCCGTGGCCCCTTCCCATCCTGAGGAACACGACACCCATCTCCAAACACGGGTGTATCGCCGGCGGTATCAAGGAACGCACACCCAGTGACGCACACAGAGGGAAAACCGGCACAGGCACCAGCCAAGACAAATTGGGAACGCGTTCCTCGCAGTCTGGGCGGCTTCCTGCAGCCTCTACCTGCCAGCAGGGAGGTGGGGACAACCCAGGCTGCTGTACCTGCTGACCAGCGGGCAGCCTGTGGGATCTTTATGGGCCAGAAGTGGTTCCTGGTGACTGATGTTACCATTTTCAATACCAAATTAATTCTGTACATGATGGTAGTCTCACAACCCTTCCCTGCGTGACCTCTTTCATGTGAAAAAAAAAAAAAAAACCCTCAAATGGAATATCAGAGTGACTTTTATTCTCATGTTTCCTTGAAGAGGGACAAGAAGCAGAACATAAGCCATGACCACACTGATTTGTTTTGAAAGCTCTCCCACCATCCCACACTTGCATTTACACTTCCTTTGAATGCATAACACCAAAGGTTCAAAGAACGGGGGCAGTAGTGGCAGAACAGAGGTTCAATCCATTACCATTCCTTGGGGTGTTAAATGCTTTGTATTGTCTTCAGCAGTGTCTAAAATCCTTTTTAATTTTCTTTTTCCTGGCACAGGGGATTCTGGAGCAACACTTCAGAGAGCAGGTAAAGCTGCTTCCAACGCTTGAAATGTCAAAATCACTTTTGTTTGGTTGTACAGTGCTAAAACACTGGTGTTGTACAGATATATAGATATAGGCTGTACAGATTTGTTTAGGATTTTACCTTGTGTCGATTTGTTTAGGATTTTACTATTGTACAAGGAAAATACCTGAGCAATAACAAATCCAGTAAATGTGTCCAGTAAAGAATCTAAAAATCTGAGGGAGGGTTATATTCACCCTGGTTTAGGCAGTAAACGGTGTTTGGTTTGGTTACTTGCCTCGTTGTAGCTAGCAGTTCTCAGAATGCTTTGTTGGAGTTAACTGAGTTTTGATGAAGCTCTCAAAGATGCTAAAAAGATGTGAAAAAGAATCCACCTATGAATTTCGTGTTAGGTATCAGAAGCAACACTTTGAAAGATTTTGTATGTAACTGTCACACGAATTCGAGACGCAATTCCGTGTTAAAAACTTGGCTGACCATGAGCAGAAATGTGGAAAATCAACGGATCACCTCTGGAAAAAATGGCATTTGTGAGTTATATTCTCAGAAGACTAAAAATAGAACTCTTGTTTGTTTTCCTTCGTGAAGTGGCCAACTGTAACACTCCCTTACCAGCCCTAAAAAAGAATTTACATAAAAAATGGTGACGCAAAACCTTATCTGGTGACTGTGTCTCATTAGGTCATCTCTGCTGGGGGAAGAAACAGCTTCGTTTCTAAAGCCTCTGCCCTGACCATGAATCAGCCAGAGAAAAATACTGAGGTGCAGATTTTTCTGCCCTGTCACCTTCGTACTGCAAGGCTGGTTTGGAACCCACAGTAAAATCCCAGCTGTTTGTCGTGTGCAGGGCAAAGCTCTGAGAGGGAACTCTCACACATTTAATGATGCTCAGTAATTTTCTGGCCAAAGGGCAGCCGTGGGGGTTTTTCCGGGTGTACTGAGCTCCACATCTTTAACCACTCTGCTGAGCAGAGCTCGTGGAGAGCCAGCCCTTTCAGTGCTATTTAATTCCGTGTTGTTTTCTAACTCTTTATTTTATGGTAGGAAAAACACTTGTCATGGCTTATCTGGCCAGCAACGAGCATGTTTGGTGCTGGAAAATTAACCTCTGTTACCTGTACTGCACCTACTGATGGAACAGTTCCAGCCTGGAATGGGCAAGAGGTGAGGAAAGGCCGGGGTTCCTGTATTTTTCTCTTCCCTTAAAAATGAAATTTTAAGATCCAAATCAATCCTGCAATGCCTTCAATATTTATGGCCTGTAGATTGTTTTTTATGGAATCCTACTGTGCTTAGGAAAGACTTATTGTTATCTGAGAAGACTAAACTCTTTCCTAATCAGATGTAGTGAACTCTTTTAGAAACAGAGATGGCACAGGCTGGTTGTATCAAAGCATGAAAATGCACCAGTTGCTCAGTTTTCTCATGTCTTCCTAACATGAAATATTCTCTCCTGTACAAAAATCTCTTGATATTTGGGTTGCTGAACACATTTATTTTTTTTTTCTTTTCAGGCCCATTTTTAAAACACTGTAGAAAAAGCCAGTGCATCAGGGATGAACAAAGATTTCATTGCTTCTGGGTCTGTCTCAAAATAAGGACAGAAAGGAATAATGAAATGTGGCTGTTTGACAATTCACATTTTTCTTTCTGCTGTTGAAGGCTCTTTTGAGTCAGAGAACCCCAGAATGGTTTGGGTTGGAAGGGATTTTAAATATCATTTAACCAACCCTCCACCATGGGCAGGGACACCTTCCACCAGCCCAGGTTGCTCCAAGCCCCGTCCAACCTGGCCTTGGACACTTCCAGGGATCCAGGGGCAGCCACAGCTTCTCTGGGCAACCTGTGCCAGGGCCTGCCCACCCTTCCCAATATCTCATCTCTCCCTGCACTCTGGCACTGGGAAGCCATTCCCTGTGTCCTGTCCCTCCATCCCTTGTCCCCAGTCCCTCTCCCTCTCCCTTTAGGCCCTGCAAGGGGCTCTCAGGTCTCCCTGGAGCCTTTTCTGCTCCAAGTGAACCCCCCCACCTCTCCCAGCCTGGCTCCAGAGCAGAGATGCACAGGAAATGTTTTGTTGTGATCAGTCACAGAATTTGGACCGGATTTAAAACCAGCACTGGATTATTTTCTGTTGCCAATTTTGATGTTGATGTTTCTGTTTGGCTTGGAGAGGGATTACACAGGGATCAGCCCAGTACTGTTGTCCACCAGGTGAAACCCCCTGTTCAGTATCAAATTTACTGATCAGCACTTTGGAATTTAATTTTTGGAGATCAGTTCCTCAATACTTGCACTCCCAGCAGCCACCCTAAAACTAAAAAATGTTGTTGAAGAGCAGTTTAGATCTGGCTCCTGTCACAGCTGCATCTAAATGGACTCTTAAAATACCTGTGAGCCAACAGTGACATGAGCTGGCAGAGAAGGCAGAAAGCTTTGTGTACAGCTGTGCTACATCTGGATCCAGAAATGGGCTCTGAATGTCACAGGGCCACAGTGCTGCTCCAAAAACCAAAGGGAAGGGGATAGAGGGGAATCAGGGAGGGTGTGACTGCTGGGGTATCTGTGCAGGGCCAGGAGTCAGACTCGATGATCCTTGTGGGTCCCTTCCAGCTCGAGACATTCATGATTCTCTGAATAACCCATGGGAGAATTATTCTGGGTTCAAAGTGAAACCCTGTTCTGAGATTAAGGGAAGGATTTCCATTGACTCAGCTGAAACCAGGTTTAAACATGTCTGTTCCTGTCAAAGGACAGCTTTCCAGAGCTGCTCCTTGGCAATTCACCCACATGAACTACCTCCACAATAGTTTTACATATTCCACTGCACATTTTGGTGACAGCTGAAACCTTTTAAGAGCATCCTAACAAGAACACTTCCTGAATTTCATCCTTCACATACTCATATATTCTAGTTCTCTCCACTCCTTAATTATTCTAACGCTCCAACTGTTTCACTTACCTTTAGGTTTTTTGCACTGGTCTGACTAGGTTTGACCTATCGTTTTTTGCCCTGAACTGAGGAAAATGTGCTGTGCACTGTGTGTCTGTGCACTGGTTTCTGCAGTTGTGCATCACCCCCGTCCTCACAGCACGTCTGATAAGGCAACTGGGGCAGTGTCTGCCAGCTGATGAGGAAACCATGAGGATGGTGTTACATCAGGCTCTAAAAACAGCCTCAGTCTTACTGTTCTCTAAAATAAATACCGAGGAAAGCCTTTGGCTGCTTGTTTTGGCAGGACACGCTTCAGTGTTACGTCGCAGGACCCGGCGACATCAGTCACAGCTCGGTCATGTACACATTTACTCTTGTAGGACTTGGGAAGTACAGACTACACCTCTTTCTTTTCCTTCCTCACCCCTCTTCGTTTTAGGGAGCTGCTGCAGGAGAAGCCACTTCCAGGCGGGGGTGAGGTTTTATGTGTGACAGCGTTTTGGGATACTGGGATGGATTTTCCACTGCTTGCTCCTTTTTCAGTTTACAGTTGCTGGAGTGTATTGAAGGGTGTGCAATATATAAGGTGAGACATTCAGGGAGCAGCAAACTCCCTCACAGAACTGGGACTTGCATGATTTGATCCTTCTCCCTGGTTTTATGCTGTGCTGGGTTTAACTAATCAGCTTGAAATCATTTATATGGGAGAGTTTTAATGTCAAAGGAGTATTTTTTTTTCAGTAACATTCTCCTATTTCAGAAAGGACCTTTTCAGTCTCCAAAAATACAGTCCTTAGCATTATATGACTTGTAATAGCTTTATTTTGCAGATTGCATTAATACAACAGGCTGAAATAGAACTGTGTCTGATTTTTCCAATCCCTCTTCACTGGAGTGGTTTTAAGTGTCTGAAATGAACTAGTCCAAAAATCCAATTCCACCAAAACCATCTCTGCAGGAAGAACAAATCTGATTTCTCGTGTTGCAACAATGCATACCCGGACATCTGATGCCTCCAGTAGCTCCTGTCAGGACTCATCCTTACAGAACTATGACATTAAATACACAACTGCAGCTCGAGGGCTGAAGGCCACATCACACATTGCTGCCTCTGGAATTGAGGGCTCTCAGTTTTTTGGGAGTCTCAGCTGAAAGCACCAATACTCAGCTGAACTTGTCACAGTGGTCTCTTTTGACCAGTGGATCTGAGACTTGCCTTCCTCTCTCTTTTGTTCTTTTTGCATATATCAGGTATTTTATAATTTGCATGGTAAAGCAAAAAGATGAGCCACCTGGATGCAATTATTACTGAGGAGAGAGCAACAAGAGCTTTCTGGGATAAAGATGTCACAGAATCATAGAATAATTCAGATTAGAAATGACCTTTGAGATCATCAAGTCCAACCACTAACCCAATACTGCCAATATCCAACATCCCATCTCTCCCTGCCCTCTGGCACTGGGAAGCCATTCCCTGTGTCCTGTCCCTCCATGCCTTGTCCCCAGTCCCTCTCCAGCTCTCCTGGAGCCCCTTTAGGCCCTGCAAGGGGCTCTCAGGTCTCCCTGGAGCCTTTTCTGCTCCAAGTGAACCCCCCCAGCTCTCCCAGCCTGGCTCCAGCTCCGTGACCTCCTCTGGACTCACTCCAGCAACTCCACATCCTTCTGCTGTTGGAGATCCCAGAGCTGGACCCAGGGAAGCCTCATTAAGGTGGGGTCTCACCTGAGAGGGGCAGGATCCCCCCTTATCACTTGCTGCCCACGCTGTGGGATCAGCCCAGGGCACGGAGGGGTCCATGGGCTGTCCATGCACGTGGCAGGGGCACGTCCAGCTTCTCATCAACCCACACCCCCAAGGGCTCCCCCTCAGAGTGCCCTCCGTCCATTGCCCCCCAGCCTGTGCCATGGCACGTCAAATGACCCCTGTACTGACCTGGCAATCAAGGAATCTGTTCAGAACACGGTAATTCTCCATGTGTGTTGCTGACACCTCTCAGTATATTCATCAGCCAAAGGCTGACTTTGTGCATCTGTTCTCACAGTTTGAACACAGCACAAAGCACCAAAACTGATGGTTAACAATGCAAATCCCCCACCCAACCTGGGACAGCCCAGCAAAGGAGACCCTTTCCAGGGAGGGAGAAACTCTGGGAGCAGCTCTTCTCCAGGAGCTCTGACCTTCCACACAGCACGAACTACAGAATCATAGATTAAATCTACGAAATAGAGTAACAGCAATTCTTGGTTGCCACAATCCTTGCTCTCAACACAAGAATTTTGAACACCTCAAGTTCACCTACTGTGGCCATGGCACAAGCACCAGGAGTCCCCTCTGGAAGCACAAGGACAGGAAAAGCCCAACAGGTCTCAGATTTCTCACCACCAGGGAGATTTCAGAGCACACACCTCTGCATGGCAAGGCAGAGAACACAAACAATTCTCCCGGGATGTGGATCTGCACTGAAGATGTATTCTATTTTTGGAGCAACACTGGAATGTTTCCAAGACCACCATGACACAATCACTGCACCATGGGTGGTAAACATGTCTCTACTGCTGCTGCAAACCTTCCTGCACTGTTTGCTGTGCATTCTTTAACCAGTTTCCTTATTAGCAGGACCCTTGCCGGGTTGTCACCTCATCCTTGGACCCCTCGTGGAAAAAGGCAAACCAATCCTGTCCCTTGCTGAGCAGATGCCATTTACTGGGTGGAGCCCACAAGTAAGTCAAGGTGAGAAATAACCTGATGAGACAAGACTCCTCAACCACAGCCTAATCCCTTTCTGGCTTGAGCTTTATCACTTAAATCAAGCTGCTTCCAATTACAAGGAAACCACAAGGAAATAAATGCATTTACAGGTAAGAGGATGAGTAGGAGGAAGATGGGAGTCAAGGGTCAGCACCCCTGGGTAAAGGGAAGAACTAATTAACTGTTCTAAAAGATGAACTGATACTGCTGTGGCTCTGCAGGATCCGCTTATCCCAACACACTGAAAGCATGTGGAGACATTAACCCCCAAACTCAGGTACTCTGGCCCAAGACATACTTAGGACTCTATCAAGGTCTCTGATTTTGACAACACTCTGGCTCTGAGAACGTTGAGAGAAATGTAAATTCAGAAAATAACAAATTAAAAGCTTCCTCCACTTCCTGTTTTCTGAGCACAGTTAAAGAATGTCACAGGAACAGAGCAAAAATAGGTCAATCAACCCTAAAACTTGCATATTACTCCAAATGTGCCATGAACCAGCTATTCATTTTCATCCAGGACCTAAGTTCTGTTTCTCTCTCTCATGGAAGGGGCTTTAGAAATGCATGTGCTACAATGGGAGGATCACAGCTGGGGTGGGTAGCACAGATTATTCATACCTTTTGTAAGCATACCCCTTATAAAATGCCAGGTATATTAAAGCTTTTAAGGCATTTTGTACCTCTAGAATCAAATTTATCAGTGTTTTTCTTACTTTACCAGGTGCATTCATGTAAAAAAGAAGGTGCAGTTAAGAGTGAAGTCTAGATTTTTGTGCAGCAATTTTACCTTACACTCAGGTACCGGCTCCAGAACAAGCAGAGTGTGCACTCATCAGCAATGCTGTAAATGAGAATTCCCCACCCCCCCAGTGAAGTGTTGTACCAAAGCTCTTTAACAAAAGTTAATGCTAGAATAAGTTTTAGTTAACACTAGGATAATTAACACTAATTCCAGTTAACACCATATATAACACATATAATTATAATTACAGTACAAACCAAACACGGTCTTGACTTTATTTCAATTCTGTGGGCACTGTTTTCCTGTGAAATTCCCACCCTTACTCTGGAGAGAGTAACGGCCATTCACCACCAGTTGCACAAAATGCTGTGTTTTATTAAGGAAATCAAGAAATGTACAGTTAAATTCATACAGGACATTCAATAGAAGCACAGTAACATGTTTACCCTCTAGGATTCTGATTTATCAAAAGTTTAAATAGTGGCTGGTTTAGGCACAACATATTCCTGCTCCAAGGTGCTCAGCTGTTTAAGCCTCTGTATCCCACAGCTCCCTGAACTATTGCTGCAGTGCAAGAAAAGATGGACTCATTGTTAATAATTCCATGAGAGACAAAGCATCATTTCTAACTGAAAACTTCCCTTCTGCAAGACTGCAAATAATCCAGCCCCGAGAACCTAGGGTTTCCTGGGTTTTCCTAGGAGTGCCTAGGCCTGCTGAGAAAGCAGCAGCTTTTGGCCGAGCTGGGATCTCGTTCTTTAGGGGAAGGAAAACCGGAGGTTTTTCCACCTGAAATGCAGCAAACCAAAGGAAGGGGTGGTTTAGGGAGCACACAGGATCAGTGTCTCCATGTTCAGAAGTTCATACCACCTCCACCCTAATCACAGGGGGACTCCAAGCTTCCTCTGCAAGGAGCTGGCCTCCCAACACAGCCTCTTACTTACCAAAATCCAAGGATATCCCGGCCCAACATCCCAAAATGCAGTGTTCCACCACGCTGCATTCCAGCTATGGGTCCTACACTTCAGTTTGGGACCAAAGTTGCCAACACACAGGTCTCATTAAGCCTCACCACACTTGGGAACACCTTGTCCTTTGTCTCCACGTGCCAGAGCTGCAGAGGTTTGTAGGCTGGAGCCCAAGTGGTGCCGGTGTTATAATAAAGCCCTAAGAAAGGCAGCAGGTTGTATAGTTACCTCCTTGTGAGCAAAATCCCTGCCCTAAAACTATGCAACCTACTACCTCTTCCTAGGAGCCCAATGCTTCCTTTTTTTGCAGTTCTTCTCACTCAGCAGCTGCTCTTTGAAGTGCTTTAGCTCACCAGCTGCTTTGGGTCTTCTGCCTTTTAGGCCTGGGCACATATGTCAAGTTTACACTGTCAGCGCTTACCAAGCAGTGGTTGACCAGTTTTACCACTCATGAATGGCTCCATTTTCACTCTGACTAAGCTAAACTTGCCATCCCAAAGAGCATTTCCATGTGTTTTTTTTTTTGTTGCTACAGCAAGGGGCTCACTGGGCACACCAGTGCAGCAGCAGTTAGAGACTGGGAACATGTAGGACTGCAGGAGGGAAAGAATGCAGTAAGCTTGAAAAGTCTGTTTATAAGACAACCACCACCTTGGAGAAGAGTTCTGGCTCTTGGGTGCTCAAACTCCATAGGTTTACACTCCTCCAAAAAGTTCAGTGAGGGCCCTGAACTGGCCAACACTTCGATTTTGTATTAAATTGAGTTGGAGAGAAACAAGTAGACTTAATAATAAAGTATAATTATAAGTTTTCCCTCCAACTTTTACCAAGCAGTTGAGAGTTATGGAATTTTAATGCAATATAGAAATTGGGGTGTCAGAACAGTTTTAAGTCACAATGTACAATTTTGAGCTGCCCGTATTTTACATTCAAAGCCCAACTGGTTTGGAATCATTTCCCCTCTATGGAGTGTTCAGTCTCTGTGTAGGAACAGGGATATTTTCCATCTCCAGCCAGCACTGTGCCACTTACCTCGGGAGAAAAGTCATGTTAGTCAAATAAATCATTTGGGGGTTGCACCAGTCACACTGATTGTCAATCCTGCACGTTCTGGCACTGATTAATCTGATACTTCACAAGCCTGAATTTATCTGTTTTTACTCCCTGAGTATTTTCCCTGCATCACTGACTGCAAAGGGTCGCAGTTTGTTTTACTCCTCAGGGAAGGCAATAGATTGTATAGTTATCTCCTGAACAGGGTAAAATAACTACCCTACAACTATACAATCTACTACCTCACTCTGACAGAGAAGCACAGCCTTCAGCAAAGAGCTCACAGCCAACCACAGTTCCACTCTGAAGGATGTTTGGTAATTCACGGAGCAACATTCAGCACCACAACAACTGGAACACCAGGAATTTCTATTTGATTACTTATGTAGGAATCAGAATAGATTCTTCATTCTTCTACTCATTAGAGGAGAGAAATTAATGCAGAATGCTAACCTAGCTTTTCCAAGAACCTGCAGAATCTAAACACAACTCCCCACAGCTATTACAGAGTATTTTCTCCCATCATACGCTTTACAAGGACAGTATTTCAGTAGAATCTGACACTGAGCTTAAAACAGAGAAGTTTCCATTGTTGACTTTCTGCTGCTTTAGGAAAGACAGTAGATTGTATAGTTATCTCCCAGTTGTGGGTATGACCCTAAAACTATACAACCTACTACCTCATCCCACAGAGCAGGCATCTTCAGAGCTGCTGTAGAAAGACTGTTGTTCCAGGAAACACGAGTTGGCTACCTGCAGACAGCATTTATAACCTGAGCACAGAAAAAGCATTCCCCTCACCCCCTTAGTCGTGCAAGAATGCTGTTTTAAAGGCAAGCTTCCTTAATTTCAAAATTTTACCAGTTGTTTGTACTGAAATACATTTCACCTTTAGCCAGCTGGCAAGTTGTAGCAGTCACAGCAGCTACAGTCGTTAAACCTGTTAAATGACTGGTTGTGCTCCACAGATGTAACTTCTGACCTGAAAGCAGAAGAGAAGTCTGTCAGGATCACTGTAGGCAGACATACATTTCTTCCTCTTGATAACTTAAAAATAAAATATAGGACCACAGCTATGCTGATTTACAATGAGACCCTAATATTTATAATTCTGATTAAACAGTGATGTTTTCATCCATCCTAACAGTTAATAGCTCCAAAAAAAAGTACTGTCAAAAGTACTATCTTGTGCTTTTTCTGTTAAGTCCTAAATTACATCAGCTCATGTGCACAGGGATTATTAGAAACAAAACTCATTAAGATTATGGCCCTTCTCCTGACATTGTAAAGTGCCTCACCAAAAGGCCACTTAAAACACATGTTGTTTTCCCCATCAGAAAGCAGTGGGTTTCTCTAACTGCTCCTGATGTCACCTTAAAGCCAATTTCTGCATTATAACAGCTCAACGTCATCTTGAATTAAAAACTTTTAGAAGTCTGAAATGAAAATACTTGCCAAACAGAGGTGTGACTTAGAACCCCATCTGTAGCAGGGACAGCTTGAAAACAGGGCTAAGAGGGAAAACTGATTGTTTTGTCCAGGTTAATTCAAAAGGTGATTGAAAATGTTTAGAGAAAAGCAGTTTTTACGAACGTTAAATATGTTTTAGGAGTACCTCACCCCAATACACACTGATGTTCTCAGACTGCTCTTCAAACAAAGCCTTGACAGAGCAAGAGCACCCTCGGTGCACGTTCCTGTCCTTGCCAGAACACCCAGCACATGATCCTGTGCATTAATATCCAAAGGGATGACGTTATTCCTTGAGCTGAGAGAAAATCAAATTACTTCCCAACCCCCTCCACGCTTCACTTCAGAATCCTTGATACAAATATTGATGAGAAAGTTCATTCTCTCTTAAAATCTTGCTTTCACTGGTGTAAATCCCATTATTTGCTTTTGTTAACTTACACATCTACCAGAAAACATCCTCCAGCACAGACACTTGGTCCTGACGCCCCAACAGTAGCTCTGGGCCAGAGTCAAACCCTTAAGGAGCACCGGCTCCCATCACATCCTCCTGAACCAGCGGGGAAGGTGACAGTGCTTTCACTTCCCTGTTCCTGCATCCAAACCTTCACCAGCTGAGCAGAATCCCTGGAAAGCCCCAATCCCTCCCTGAGGCCTGGTCAGGGAGCTGAGCTGCACAGCACCACCTCAGCACCTTCAGTTTGTCACTTCAGGTGAGGTCCCACGGGTAGTTTTTCAGAAGGAACTTTAAGATGAAGCTCGTGGTTCTGTGATTTATTGAAAATGTTTGAAGCATTTTGAAAAATTCAGTAGGTGTTGCCACACCTGTTTTAATTTCACAGAGTACATAAGGCAGTGCTTCAGGATTTCTTTTTAAAATGAAGCCCAAAGGACACAAGGATTGTAACAAACCTAAAAGCTGATCTGTTGCACTTCACCACCTTTAGACAAAATTTAATTGCAGACCTAACCAACCTGAGACGCATCAAACGGCTTTTATTTCCACTGACAGCAGGACTTCCCAATCAAATTTTATTCCTGGAAATTCTAAATCATTTCCTACTGCCACCACTAGATTTTCCTGTTCAGTACCTGCAGCACCTCAACCCACAGGAATCTGCCTCCTTCCCCCTTTCTGAAACAAGAGCCTTTCATCTAATAAAGGACTGAATTGGCTGTCACTTAAGGTTAAAAATGTCCTTGAAAAATTATTATTACTCAACTTCCAACTGCTATCCTGTTAGTGTGCCTTGGGATCATAAAGTGCATGCAGGGCACAAGCCCAGGGCACACTAACAGGACAGCAGTTGGAAGTTCAGCAATAACAGGAGGGGTGTATAATTAAAGGAACTCAAATTCTAGTCAAAAATCTTATTTTTGGAAGGAGTTCAGGTTACCTTCTGCTTTTACTTCTCTTTACTGTGTATTCCTGCAAAGCTCACCCAAAGAGCATCCTGCTTTATATTAACCCTGCAGCTCTGGGAGCTTTTAACTCGTGCATTATTTGTAATACTCTTTCCAAGCTGCATCACCTAAGTTGCCACATCCTTTTACAGATGAGGCCTGCCAGGTCTCCTTGGGGGCCTGCTGTGTGCAAGCATCGAGGGTTTCTGGCACAGGCAGAAGCAGGGAATCCTGATGAATGCTCCTGCTGGCACAGCCTCTCCTGGGGTGGGATGTTCTCATCATTGCAAAGCTCCTCGTGCTGTTGATGTCACACCCAGTGCAGCACAGCAGTTCAGGGTCACTCCTTCAGCAAAAATCACTCAGCTGTGATGGGAGGTAAATTTTTAAAAAAAAAACTGGCTAATTTGCTCTCCTTGGTAAAAGCTGAGCTCCTTAGTGCTGTTTTTTCCTGTCTCCACATGTTTAAAATCCCAGTACAGTGAAAGGGGAGAAAATGGCTCTGGGATTGTGGAGCTGCACAATCTCACACGGCCCCAGCTGCCAAACACCCCCCAGGGCTGAGCCTGCACAGCTCCCACCACACGATGGAGCTCCAGGATTTACAGGAACACCACTGACACCAGTTCCTCACAGTTTTACCCCTGGATTTCAGAGCACTCCCTGCACTGAAGCCACACTTCCTGAATCCCAGGAACTTCCTGCCACCTTCTCCAGCCGTGCCAAGCATCCAAATGACTTCACTGCAGACTCGTAACTCAAATTTGCTCATTCCTTGGGTTTTGTGTTTGGCTGGTGTGGACTGCAGGAAGAAAGGGAGCAGCATGACTGACATAAACTTAATTACCCCTGATATTGCTTCCCCTCATTCCACTCAGCTACCCCTGAAGTGTTACCACAGACACATCTCATCACCTCTTCCCTAACCAGGCTCAGTGAAATCAGACAGCATAGTTTTAGCATACACTGAAAATGTTTTCTCATCTGTATTCAGTTTTGGGTTGTACCTTTCCTTTGCCTCAATAATGTGCTTATCTTTCCAGAGCTTTGCTCCCAATTTGTGTCCAGAAGTGAAGCAGCTGACTCTTGAGCAGGCTCTGAAATAAGGCTGGCCTGGTTTCTTGAGCTACCTGGAAGTTTAAAACCTCTTAAATGATCCTAAACTGCATAAGAATTTAAAAAAAAAAAAAAAGTCTCAAGAATTGGCATGATTTTAACACCCCACAGTGGAACATCAGCACTCCTAAGCTATTGTCCAACCTGTGAAAAAGAAAACAAAAATAACTCAAATGAGTTATTATTTAATTTATTACTCTGCTGAGGGAACAAAAGGTGTATTTGCACAAAGGACAGAAGTCCTGTCTCCTCTCAGTGTGATCCTGCAAGACAAATTATTTATTCTCCCAGTTATTTTGTCCACTTTGCAGCCCAGAAGTAAAAACCACCTAAAGCTGAAAGTGAATTTGCAGAAGGAAGAGCTCCTGCACAAACAGGACTTCAGTGACACGGAAATACATCACCCTGGTACATCCTCCTGGGAAAAGATCACTTGGTAACTGTAAATTAAAAATATTTGTGAGCAGTTGGTTTCCTGAGAAGACTGTTTTACTCTAGTAAAGCTTGAATTGAGCTTCAGAAATTCAGCAGATAAAAACTGAGCAGAAAAGTCAAAGCTTTAAGTTAAAAACCTGTGGGAAACGAAACAAATTAGAGGGTTTGGGGTTTTTTAGTTGCTGTTGTTTTTTTTTTTTTTTTTTACTTTGTGCTGAGCAAATTCACCTCCACTGAAAACAGGCCAAGAAAGCACAATGTGACACCTCCCAGCCCATGTCCAGGAACCCCTGGTTATGCCCCAAAATTAAAAATTCAGCACTAAAGTCCACACACCCAGACAAGGATATGTGTCCACAATGGTATTTTGGGGAATTTTTTTCCACACAACAGCAAGATTAATAGCACTGATTGCTACCAATAATGTATTTATGTAGTGCCTCAATTAGATTTTAGAAAAAAAAAAATGTATTTCCATGTCCCACTTATATTTAATTGCTTTAACACAGAGCATTCTGCCTTTTAAGTAATTATCACATGAAGTATTACTGTTTTGCCACATTTTTAACTAGTATGTTTGATATTCACTTATTTTTCTAACCATGTAGTTACAGGTGGAATATAAATATCCAGAAACCATGGCCTGAAAGAAATGAGAAGCCACCACTGCCCATCTCCTGCATAAAAGTAAAGTTTGTGAGCACAGTTAATGATTTCTAATATGAACAGAGAACCAAAGTGGCACGAACCTTGGCATCTTTCCCTACACACCCTTGATTTTACTGCACTAAAATGGTCAGATTTTCACAGATCCTGTTTTTGAGTACACCTCTTGTCAGTTCAGGGGACAGAATGTAAACAGAACTATTTGTAAATAAAGAAATGAATTCAGGTACCCTTCAGCTTCAATCACCACAGAGGCCTCAGTGCCCTTCTGAAAGGAAACCATCACTTTGGTTATTGGTCCTGCTCCAGACAGAGAAATGTGTATTAATATACAATACACAAATGTGTATTTATTCCCTAGATTTGTGTCTCTTAGGACATACTAAGTAGGGTTTTTTTCTGCATAAAGTTACATGTTATTTTAGGAATTACCCAAATTCAGCAAACAACGAAGTTAGTGCACAAAAATATTTCAAGACTGCTGTGCTATGTTATTAATTGGCAACATAATTAAACATCCATTGCCCTTTGTAAGTCCTGGGAGCCTTTCACTACTCTGCAAATAAACTGATGTTTTCCACTGCTACTAACAGAGGAAAATACAGAAGGCATTTATCAAAAGGAAAGTGAGGTAAGGATACAGGTCACTGGAGGAGAAAAACACAGCAAGTGATCTGATGTTTTATCTAAGCTTCCTCTGGCCAAGTCTCCAGTCTTGGTGTGCAAAATAACTTCCCAGCATGACCTATGTGAGATGAGGTGGCATTTAAGATATGCAGGGCACAACTTGGGAGGAAAACTCCCAAGTGAAGAAAATTACAACCAGCAACTTTATATTAGAAATATAAATTTATAAAAATATCACAATACAGCTGTTTAGTAAGTCCATCTACACACCAGCAAATAAGTGTTTTGATGAGGCCCCTGGCAGCTGGGGATGCTTGAAGAAAGAGGAAGAAGAAGATGCCCTATTTCTTAAGTATTATTGAAGTTATTACTTTTGAAGGGACAGATTGATTTTCTCAAAAATTCTGCCACGGGTTAAGTTTGCCCCATCGTTACCACTGAGCATCATCATCATCCCAACAGGGTTCCTGTGTGCATTTTTAATGGCAGCAAGTTTTCCCTGCCAGTTCAGACTTGCACTTGAGTCACAGAAGCGAAGTGCAGAGCAGCACAGATAAAGAGAGCACTGGCAAGGCGGGAAAGGCAGATCTGTAAAACGAGGATTATCACAACCTCGATCATCAGGTCGAGTTTTCACTCCTACAAGAAACAAGTCGCAGAATTATCAGGGTTATTGGAAGGGCCCTCTGGAGGGACCATCCAGTCCAGCGTGCTGCCAAGGCAGGGTCACCTGGAGCGGGTGACACAGGAAGGCTCAAAGTGGGTCTGGAATGACTTCAGAGAAGAAGAGCCTAGAGATGCCTCCATGGGCAGATCCTCCACGGGAAGTCACAGCATGAAGTCATAAAAAAACAATTTGGGTAACATCTCCATCTAAGCTGTGCCAGAACGAAGCCCCCCACGAGCACACCCCCTGCGCGCCAGGGCCGTGGGGCGCCCGCGGGTGAAGCTGCAAGGGAAAAGAGCCACGCCGGGAGGCCCAAAGAGAGCTCTGGCCCAGCACACCCATTAAAAACCTGCTGCCCTCGCTCCCCGGGGAGCCGCCAGCCCTGCCCAGCCCAGCAAGGCCGCAATGCCCCATCCCGGCTCCCACCCACCCCACACACAGGGCCGGGAACAGCGCGGCAGGCCCCGGGACCGGGGGAACGCTGCCCGTGGCGGCCCCTTCCAGCACCCCAGGCCCCGCGGCGCTCCCCTCGGGGAACGCTCCTCACCTGCTGCCCGCCCGGCCCGGGGCTCC